CGGGGGCCCCCCCGGAGGCCGGAAAGACAGGCACGAGCTTGCCGCCGTGTTGTCTGCTCCACGGCGCGAGCAGGCTCGCCTCGCTCCCCTCCCAGACCTCGGGCGTCTCGAAGAAATCGAGGCGGAGGTTTTTCATAGTTTTCGGCTTCGAGGGGACCTCGCCGGGCCTCGGGGCCGTCGAAAAACGGCTCGGGAGGGAGAAACCGGCCCCAGGGAAGTGGACGGGAGGTCGGGGGCCCGCGTCTCGAAAAGATCGAGACGTCGGAGGTCTGGGCTCCTCGAGTAATGAAACAAATCAGGACGGAAGGTTTTTCCCCCCTCCCTGAGCCTCGGGGCCGTGAAGGAAACCACTCGGGAGGAGAAGCCGGTCCGGGGGAAGGGGTCCCGATTTCTGGGGGTCGAGTTCACGAAATGTTTTTCCCCACCCTCGGCCCCTGGGGGGCCTCCCTGGGCCTCGGGGCTGTGAACAAAAACACTCGGGATGAGAAGCCGGTCCTGGGGAAGGGGTTCCGATTTCTGGGGGTCGAGCTCATGACAAAAGTCACGACGTGGGGGGTCTGGGGCTCCCGTCCCAGACATCCGACGTCTCCATGTTTTCGAGACGCGGGCCCCCGACCTCCCGACCACTTTCCCAGGGCCAGTTTTTCCCTCCCGAGCCGTTTTTTGACGGCCCCGAGGCCCGGGCGAGGGCCCCGAGAGGCCGAAAGTTATGAAAAGCCTCCGCCTCGATTTCCTCGAGGCGCCCGATGCCTGGGCGTTTCGGAGGAGGAGGAGGAGGAGGAGGAGGAGGGGGAGGAGGAGGAGGAGGAGGAGGAGAGAGGAGGGGAGGGAGAGAGGAGAGGGGGGAGGAGGAGGCGGGGGAGGAGGAGGGGAGGAGGAGGAGAGAGGAGGAGGAGGAGGAGGAGGAGGAGGAGGAGGAGGGGTTCGTCCGACCCACGTGGCGCGCCCCCGAGGAGGCTCCTGGAGGCCACGCCGCCGCCGGAGGCCGTCGGCGCGCAGCGCAACGGGGGGGCGGATCGCGCGCGCGGTCGCGCGCGAGCGTCGTCTGGGGGCTCGGGCGAGGGCCCGAAGCCTGGCGTCGTGATTCTTGTCGGGGCGCGAGCGTGCCCCGCCATCGGGCGTCTCGAGAAAATCGAGGCGGAGGTTTTTCGCAGTCTTTGGCCCCTCGGGGCCCTCGCCGGGCCTCGGGACCGTCGAGAGACGACTCGGGAGGAGAAACCGGCCCCAGGGAAGTGGTCGGGAGGTCGGGCGCCCGCGTCTCGAAAACATCGAGACGTCGGATGTCTGGGTCTTTCGTGCCGCGGGGCCCTCGCAGATCGATCCGGCTCGACAAATTACCCAGGAAGATGGGGTGTAGGGCTCCGGGCGTGATATTTTCGGGCGTCTCGAAAAAGTCGAGACGTCGGATGTCTGGGTGTCGGGGTGATCGTCGGAGTAAGTGCAGCGTCGCAGAGAGGATCGGCAGGAGCCCCGGGCCCAGCCTTTCTGCGGCATCCCCCGAAGCGGGTCGATCCGCGAGGGTCGAGGGTCCTGGCGCCCAGAGCCAGGCGCGACCGCCCAGGGCGAACAAATTCAGGAGGGGGGCGAGCATACAGGCACAACGAGTGTCCTCCTCCTCCTCCTCCTCCTCCTCCTCCTCGCTCCTCCTCCTCCTCCTCCTCCTCCTCCTCCTCCCTCCTCCTCCTCCTCCTCCTCCTCCTCCTCCTCCTCCTCCTCCCGAGTCGTCGACTCCCAGGAAGTGGTGGGAAATATGAAACTTTAGGGGGGGGAGGGGACAGTCCCGATCACCTGGGACACTATAGGGGGCGGGGGGGAAGCCTGGGATGCGCGTCTGCTCCTTTGTGCCCCTGGGCGCCGTCCGAACTAGGCGACGCCCGGATTCCGAAGTCTTTCTCAGCAGGCCGCCCCCTCGCGCCGCGCCCCCTTGAGTCGTAAGTCGGGCCTGTCCCTCTACAGGGGGAATATTCAAACATAGTCCAAACAATATTTTTTGTTTGAATATTTGTTGGGAATCTTTTTGGGGGGCCATTTTGGAGTTTTTGTTTGGGGCATTTTTTTTTATTTGTCGTCGCCAATCCCCCTGTAGGTAGGGGGACACGCCCGACTTTGCTCTAGTCCCAGACGTGCGACGCCTGGATGGATTCCAGGGCCGGGCCCCCGGGCGTCCCGACCCCTTTCCCCCGCAGGGCTGGTTCCCTGAGACGCTGGCGTCCCGAGTTTTTTCGAGCAGGGCGTTTTCGCCCTCCTTCGTGCCGCGGGGCCCTCGCACCCAGACATCGGGCGTCTCGAACAAAATCGAGACAGAGGTTTTTCATAGTTTTTAGCCTCTCGGGGCCCTCGCCGTGCCTCGGGACCGTCAGAAAACGAGTCGGGATGAAGAACCGGTCCTAGGGAAGTGGCCGGGAGGTCGGGGGCCCGCGTCTCGAAAAAAGTCGAGACGTCGGATGTCTGGGTCTTTCGTGCCGCGGGGGATCTCAGGTTCCAGCGCGGGTGTTTTTGCTCACGCCTGGCGAGGGCCCCTGGAGGTCCGAAGCGGCCAGGAACCTCCCGTTGGGATTCTGCCACAGCGCGAGCATGTCAAGGTTGTTCCCCGCCCCTCCCGAGTCATGAACAAAAACGACAGCTGTTACTAGATCTTCTGGCCCCCGGGGGCCTGCGACGGGCCTCGGGGCCGTCAGAAAGCGACTCAGGATGAAAAGCTGGTCCCGAGGGTCTCGGGTCGGGATCTCCGGGGGTCGACGTTGTGAAAAAACATGACGTCTGGGGTCTGATTTCCTATGGGTTTTGTCGGAAGTTGGGGGTGAGATCGCAGTGGGATGGAGAGCCCCCCGCCAGGAAGTCGGCGTCGGTGTCCTGTTCGTGTCGCACGTGCGGGCGAGGCGAAGCTGCGTGGGCGCGCCAGAGGAACGATCCCGCCGCCGCTGGGGCGATGCAGATGCAAAAGTCCGGCCCTCGGGTGGGCGCGCGGTGGGTCGATGTTCCCTGAGGTCTGTCGTCGTCGTCTTCCCTCCTCCCTCGTCGTTGTCGTCGTCGGCGTCGCCGTCCTTCCTCCTTCGTCGTTCGCGTCGTCGCCGTCCTCCCTCCTCCCTCGTCGTTGTCGTCGTTGTCGTCATTGTCGCCGTCGTCGTCCTTCCTCCTCCCTCGTCGTCGTCTTCGTTGGCGTCGTCGTCGTCGTCGTCGTCTTCGTCGTTGTCGGTGCCAATAAATCCAACATCGCAAAGAGTCGCGCCCGGAGCCCCCGACCCCATCTTTCTGCATCATTTTTCGAGCCGGATCGACCTGTGAGGGTCCTGGGGCCCGAAATTCAGCGAACACGCCCGCCGTGAAAAAAAGTCAGCGTCAGGACCTCGGGGTCATGAGGCGTCGGGGGTCCGGGTACGTGCCCCGCCGACCCAGACATCGGGCGTCTCGAGGAAATCGAGACAGAGGTTTTTCATAGTTTTTAGCCTCTCGGGGCCCTCGCTGGGCCTCGGGACCGCCAACAAAACGAGTCGGGATGAACAACTGGTCCCAGGGAAGTGGTCGGGAGGTCGGGGGCCCGCGTCTCGAAAACATCGAGACGTCGGATGTCTGGGACCAGGGTATAGGGGCGTTTTCTGCGCCCTTGACTTTCGGGTCTCACCCCCCATGGGCCCCAGACATGCGGCGTCCTGCTTGTTTCAGGACGGCGTCCCCGGAAGTCCCGACCCTTTCCCCATGACCGGCTTTGCATCCTGAGTCGTTTCTTGACGCTCCCGAAGCCCGGTGAGGGCCCCCAGAGGCTGAAAATTAGGAACAACCTCCCGTCATGATTTTTTCTTTACTCGAGGGGGTCATGATGTTTTCGTTACATCGACCCCCAGAGGTCCCGACCCTTTCCCCATGACCGGCTTTGCATCCTGAGTCGTTTCTTGACGCTCCTGGGGCCCGGCGAGGGCCCCCTGGGGCTGAGAATCGGGAAAAGCCTCCGTCCTGACTTTTTTCTACGACGCGATCCTGTCTGGGGGGGGGAGGAGGAGGAGGAGGAGGAGGAGGAGGAGGAGGAGGAGGAGGAGGGGAGGAGGAGGATGAGGAGGAGGAGGGAGGAGGAGGAGGAGGAGGAAGGAGGAGGAAGGAGGGAGGAGGAGGAGGAGGATGGGGTGGGGACGAGGCCCTGGAGGCGCTGCGGAGGAAGGTCCGCGGCAGCTCGCCGCCGACGGAGGCGCCCCGCCTGCGCGGGCCGGCGGGGCCGGTGCGGGCCGGGGCGCGGCCGCTCTTGCCTTCACTTTTGCCTTTGCTTTTGCTTTTGCTTGGCACCCAGGGAGCCCAGACCCCCTCGAGTAATGAACAAAATCATGACGGGATGTTTTTCCCAACTTTCGGCCTCCGGGGGCCCTCGCCGGGCCTCGGGAGCGTCAAAAAACGACTCAGGATGCAAAGCCGGTCATGGGGAAAGGGTCGGGACCTCTGGGGGTCGACGTAATGAAAAAATCATTACGTCGGGGGTCTGGGCAGGGAGCGCAACTGGGGGAACCGCGCGTTTGCTTTTACCTTTGCTGTTGCTTTTGCCTGGCTCCCAGGGGGCGGGGGGAACCGCCCGGGGCGAAGCCCACTGCCCGGCCCCTTGAAGCCCAGCGAGCAGGAACCCTCTAGGCAGAGCCTAGGTAGGGAAAGAACCTCGTCTCGATTTTTTCGAGACGCCCGATGTCTGGGGGTCGGGCCTTCCGGGGGCCCCGCATGGGAAAAGTCAGGACATCGCAGGTCTCGGGGGGGCGGTGGTCGGCGACGTCGGCCGCCTTCACGTCGGGCCCCGAGATCTCCGAGGATCCCTTTGAGAGTCCCATTCCTCGAGATGCCTTGAGAGGCCCAGTCCCCCGACGCCATTCAGGAGGGAAAAAACACACAGACACAATTACTCGTCGACTCCCAGGAAAATATGGGAAAATATGGGAAGTGGGGGGGAAGACAAGAACCAAGAACATATGGTAAAACTATAGGACATATTTCTATTTGTGTCTATTCATTTGTGTGTCCCAGTTCCCCTTCAGTCATGTTTGTTTTCACAGCGGCGATCCCCAGTGGTCTCGGCCCGTTCCTTGGGACCAGTCTCTCATCCTGAGTCTTGTGTTGGACGGTCCCCAGCGAGGCCTGGTCAGGGCCCCCTGAGGGGCCGACCGTCGAGAAGCATCCTCCGTCGTGCCGTTGTGCGTGATTCCAGGGGGGGGTCTGGGGGCCCCCTCCAGGTCCCGAGACCGCGCGCCGCACCGCCATGCGCGGCTCCTGGAGCGGCGCCGCGAGCTGCGCGCAGAGCCTCTGCGCGCCGCGCGCCCCGCTGCTGCAGGGGCGGGCTGGACGTTTCGGTCCCGCCCGCGTGCGCGCCGCTCGAGGCAGCTCGGCGGCCTCGCGTTGGCACCCCCAGGTCTGTGATCGTGCCGCTGTGCCCCTTCTCCCCCCCCCAAAGGAAGGTCCCCCCCCCCTGTGCCAGTCCCCCCCCCTATCGCTGCCCCTCGATTCAGGGTGCCTGGGGGGTCCCGCCCAGTTGTCCCTCGCGCACGGCTCTTCGGCGTTCAGTCTCTTGGGGGGCGGGCCGCGCCCAGGGGGAGGAGGAGGAGGAGGAGGAGGAGGAGGAGGAGGAGGAGGAGGAGGAGGAGGAGGAGGAGGAGGAGGAGGAGGAGGAGGAGGTGTTGCGGCAGGCACCCCGCCACGCCAGCGAACCGCGATGCCCCCAGCGAGTCCACCTGCCGCAGGTT